GATTTCTTTATAGAACTGCCAAATGCCAATATGAATTCCTTGCCAATTAATCATCTTGTACAGTACATGTACACATACATTGAATAAAAATGTTTGTAAAAATGGCATTGATTTTCAGGATACAGATTTTAAAAACACTATAACCAATAATTTTGTACATAAACTTCATTCTAAACTTTAGTAGCATCTAAAGGTAGCATTTGTGGCTTTTATAGTGCAGAAATGCTTTATCCTTTAGAGAAATCTTCTTTTTCTCTCTTTCATTTCTTTCTCTTTTTATTACTTTAGTATCAGCACATCCAGTTAGTCCTAGCTCTCCGATAACTTTCACTACTCGTCTCTTCTTCTCCGCCCACTTCATACTGTTGGGTAGTCTCAGAGCAGCTGAGAAGTACAAGTTCTCACGGACAGAGAGAGTACCCATGATGACATCATCCTTAAAAGAGAATATAAATTATAAAAATATACAATGATGAATATAATTAAGAATGATTAAAATATAAGGAAACTTCTATATTTGCTCCTTTTCATGTTGGCAAAATTTGGCTAAATACCAGACTTAGGCCTGATTTTTGAGTAGCTTTAAAAATTCACTTAAAAAATTCCAATTTTGATCGGAATTAACTCAAACTTTCTACACATTATAAGAACATGTGCATGTATAATGCATTAGGAGAAATTATAAAAATAAAGAAATCTCTCTTTTTCAATTTTGGCAAAATTTGGCTGAATGCCCTAGAAACTTTGGCTCAATTCTGATTTAATTAAAAAATTTTAATGAAACTACATGTACACATGTAAATGTATATACAGTATCATGTGATGGTCATGTGACTATGGTGTACCTGTACAACCTATCCACTCATACACTTGAAGTATTTTGGTTGTGGCCATCCATTAACTAACACAATACCAGTTAGACCACCTTTTGACTTCCTGTCAGCTAGTACATCTAACAGACTGTAGAGAGAGGGGGAAGGAAGAAAAGGAGAGAGAGGAAAGTTTAATTATTTAAGCTATTGAGTAACTCAAAAAATATGAACAAAGTATACCATATACCATGTTTATAGGAGTTAAAGGGATACTGGCACAGTTTACTGAAGAGCTGAATGGCTTGAGTACACGGAAAGTTTATAAACCCAAAAAATTGCTGCCGCGGGTTTATACATGTATCTTGTAATATAGAAGCAGTTTATACTCTGATTCTTGCTTCTGGATACTTCAACAAATGATGCCTTATGTTTATCTCCACCAAACTAAAAGGTAAGCACTTAACATCAAGTTTGCCGTCTGTAAAAGGCTAGTGTGTTTTGACGGGTGAGTTTGACTGGATAGCTGTTTACTTTTTCTGAGTTTTTTCTGATCTCTTCGTACACGGCGACAGTATCTCTTTAAGACACACATGTACTAGTTTGTACACTATACATGCATTTACTGGACAATGAAAGTACCTTTTCAATCCCCTCCAGCTCTTGTTCAATCTTCTTAATCTTTCTCTCAATAGTATTTGTTGATTTTGAAATATCATCAAGCTTCTTGAGACACTCGTCTTGAGCTGGATCAGTCTACCCAGGGATAAAATTAGAAAAAAGATGTAAGACATATTAAGGAGTGAACCTAAAGCACTTGCAGTTAGCATTATAGTAAAGTCAGTGTGGATGTAATAGCTTTATCAGAAACTTTCAATGCATATGCATGTACTATGCATGATTTGTACATGTACTGTACCTGCACATGTAACTTTAAAATTTGTAATTAGCAAGAACATGCAATAAAACCCTCATAGTTGACTTTAATTAATACAAGTAGATCGTACATAGCATGATTATAGATATTTGTAAATAAAAAGAATTTTTGCTCAAAATACAGACATACGTACCTTTCTTCCCAATAGCATTATTTTGCTATTATTCTTTATTCCTGCTTCACTGACTAACTCCTCTTCTTTCCTAAGAGTCTTTCCTATTTAATAATGACTCATACTTAATCCCATTTGATTACATAATGGACATATTATAGCAAATCAATTTCACTAATAATTATTAACACCCACAATTAATACAGTATTATAGTCTGATTACTTAATGACCCTTAGTTTTAATACATACTACCAATGGTACATT